GATACTGTTGATTATCATATGGAGACATTGGATAATTATGTCAAACAAAAAGGAAAATATTTGAAGTAAGATATTATTATTCTCAAATAAATTAACATTTTTAATACGTTGATATTAAATGAGTATGTGTCTTTTGCAGGTATGATAATTTGGAAGCATTAGATGACATCTTACGTGGTTTTTTCGATCTTATATGCTTGACAAATTCAACATCCAATAGTGTTCCACCAATGAAAAATACTTCATCAAATTATTCTCCATATTATTCATCAAATAAACAAGGTACACCACAATCATGGAATAGTCGAAATTTGCCAACACCAATGGATTATTATATCAATTCACAACAACAACATATGTCACTTCAAGTATTTTTGCTTTTCTCAAAATCACTTTCAAAGTTTTCCTTTTTCTTTTTTTTTTTGTAGAATATCAATCCTCATCATCATCATATGTTTGTTCCACCAAAGTCAATGCCTCCATATGATAATCAACAGTATCCTACAAATTTATTATCATCACAACAATCATCTATGATCAAAATCATGCCTCTAGATCCTTCAACTAATCCAAATGAAATAAATCTGAAATCAGGTGATCAATTATATTCATCAGTTGATTTACCACCTTTGCCTACACCATTTAATCCAATACAACAAAATTTTTATCATTTATCTTCATCACAATTTGTTAAAATGGATGACATGAATGCATCAATTGATCCATCAACTAGTCGTCAACAAGTACATGTACGTTCTTCATCACTAATTAATGATAATTTCGTTATGACACCACTGTCTCATCATTCAATGCTTTTGAATGCTAGTCAACCACCACCATCACAAAAAATTATTAATTCATATGTTCCGACAACAATATCCATTGAACAAGAATATAAACAAGGTATATATTATGGTGAACAAGCAGATGAACTCCATACAGGTACATTATATTATCATGAAGCATCTGAACATGATCCTGCTTCTCAACAACAATCACATCCAGCAATTGATTAATAATTTATTAATTTGCAAGCATCATCATCAGCTCTTCCTAGTGATATTAATTGACCAGGATCTTATTAATAATGTTTGAATCTCTTTTTTCTATTCGAGTTGGATAAATTCTTTTTCTTATTTTTTTTTCTTTTGGTATTATTTATGTGGTTCTCTATTTCTCTTTCTGATTAATTACATATTCATACACTCTTTATTTTCATTTGCTGAAGTATGAAAATGTGAGTTGAATTTTTACCAATATCTTAATTTGAAAGTTTAGAAAGTTCATCATAAGAAAGATAATTAACGATATAAAATAAAATGTTCATTAACTAAAGCTTGTAACGAATCTGATTGGTAGAATATTTGGAAAATAAAACAAAAGTTCATCTTTCAAATTGAATACTAGTAATGAAAAATAAAAGAAACTTCTTTTCATGAAACATCTGTAATAAATTGAAATATTTTTACAATAATTGATGCATTAAGAAGAACATCAACGTTTATGTATTCAAACTAACCTTCATCAAAGAAAGTACGTACTATATTATGCACTTTATTTTTTTCTATATTAAATATTATAATTCGTAGTGTTAGGAAGAAGTTCAGAAAGAAACTAAAGAAAAGATCGTCACATAATAATAAATTAGAGAGTATGTTCATCTGCATCATAGGACATATTCAACAAATGAGAATAGATAAATAATGATGTTATTCTTCTTCAATTATCAATTTATTCAGTCATCGACAATTTCGACTATTGAAAAATACGTTAATATTGTTCTTGTTGACGGTATCGGCCAAATAGAATAAAAATGAATATATATGTATCGAGTTTTTTCTAAGGTCAAACGAATAGATAAATGAATAAAAGTATGAATCATTCATCCGTCTCATTGAATGATTTGCCCGATGAAATTCTTCTGATTATTTTCAAAAAACTGGACAATCTTGAAGTATTTTATTCTTGTCAAGGTGTCAATGAGCGACTAAATAAAATTATACATGATTCAATATTTACAAGTTATTTAAACTTTCTTCAATGGTCACCCAAAAAATTTGTCAATAAATTTTCTTCTGATGTCATACTTGATCGATTTTGTTCACAAATTTTACCTGAAATTTCAATGAAAATAAAATGGCTTGATCTTGAATCATCATCTATGAAAAATATTCTATGTGCTGCAGATTATCCGAATTTATATGGCATTGGTTTATTTAATATCGAAGAAAAAACAGCTAGGTGTCTTTTTACCGGTAAAGAAATCTCAATAGAATTTTTTTTAATATAAAATAAATAAAAATAATTATTAAAATTAACATAAATTCTTTGATGAAATTATTAGTGAAGTTAAATATATTAAATTACTTTAAATTCTAGTTTATATTTGAATGAGTGAATTGGGTAGGGAGTGTTTTGAGCACCAAGAAATAGGTGAAATGAGCACCAAACGGATTAAATGTGAAAAGAGCACCAAAAAAAGAGTGAAATGAGCACCAAAATGATTAAATGTGAAAAGAGCACCAAAATATAGGAGAAAAGAGCACCAAAATAGAAGAGAAATGAGCACCAAATTTTTTTATATATGAAATAAGAAAAAAAATGTCACCACAGAACACTACATGAACAAATAACAGTAGATAAGTAATAAATAGATATTTTTTTTACAAAAAAAATTATAACAATAGAGCACTTTGAACTTTTTTCGATCTACCTTTGCCACGTCTCTTACCCAAAAGTTGTAACCGAGTTTTATCATTAACTTCGTATTGGTTGAGCATCATAGCTAGGCCAACTGAATGTTTGCATACGTAATATTTCAAGCCAGTTGGACATGTACATGAAAATAGTGGAGATACAAGCCGACAAGATTTTAACCAAATAACAAGTCCGTCAAATGACGACCACCGCTGAAGCTGATACATTTGAAGCCAAACAGCTGGTGTGATTAAAGAATTTGATGATGGAACAATGTACCATGAATCAAACCAATGTAAAACAGCAAGCTTATCGATGTTGTTCGACCATTTGAAGGCGCATAACTCTAAATCAGAAGATATTGATGGTTTACTTACAAAAACATTTGATGATGAAGCAGTTGACCAGTCGTTTAGCATTTGTTCAATCTTTGGTAGAAACGATGATAAATGAAGTTTATTTCTCATTGTGTATTTCTTTTTAATTATGGAATTTAAAGATTCGCAGCCATTACTCGTTAATGGCATATTTATTGCAGCACCTTCATACCTGTAAGTACAAAATATTTTATCATAAGATATTAGAAACTCAACATCAGAAGTTTTCTTACCATAGAGGTAATGTTTCAATCCATTGATTGAAAAAGTATGATTGAAATTGCTGAATAAGTGGATCAGTTGACCATTTTTTCATTAGCAGATTTGTACCATGACTAAAAATATTATCTGAAAAACATAGTTGTAAATTATGTATATCAATATCAATTTGTTTCCATTTCTCTGTTGGCACTAGTTTTCTATGTTCTCGGCATTTACGAGCAACATGCGCCCAACACATAAGACGTCTTGCTTGAGGAAAAACTTCCTTTTGAGCACTTGTAATTCCTAAATATAGAACATTCAAGCTTGAAAAAAACGAAAAATAGAAGTATGTCGTACCTGGTGCACCATCTGCCATTACATAATTTACAACATACTCACGTTGATTTTCTTGAGTTGAGATGAGTTTTAATTGTTTAAATAAATCAATGTAACATGTTGAAGTTTCATCACTTGATATTAAAGCCACTCCGAAAGGTCGAAAATGACGATCAGCATCTGATGAACCGAACACTAGTAACGGGAGTTCATTCCACGTGAGTTTGTATGTTGCATCGACTTGTAATAGAGTTGAAGATTGTGCGTCTTTTAATAATTGTTTTGTCGCAAATAAAACAAAAATGTCATTAATATCATTGATATAATAGTAAGGTATGAACGTTGAATGTAATGAATTTTCATCATATGAGTGATTAATACACCATTGATTAAAGTCGTAAACAGAAAATATATCGGGATTATTTTTTCGACGAGTATAATTGATTAAATTTGATAATTGATTTCTTGGTATTGAAGTTGATGGACAATCCACTACCAATAAATTTTTAATTTGAGTTTCTGTGAGATTACAATTAACATATTTTGAGACCAACTCGCGTACAGGTGATGGTGCACGAGTTGTTGTGCGACGTTGCTCATGATCGTGTGTATTTTTATACATTAATTTAATTTCTATTGGATGAGTATCTTCAATAACAATTTGTATTTCGAATTTGCAAAGTGGATATTTCCGATAGTTCCTGCATCGATAAGAATACTTGATAGAGTTCGATAAATTCGACGTTCTATACTTTGAGACATTGTGGTTTTCCAGAATACAATTAGCTTCTTCAAGTGTTTTTACAATGTTTAAAATTTTATATTGATCCTTTTCCATGTTTTCGTTATGTTAGTTTACACTTTTTTGAGACTCTTTATATACAAAATTGTTCGTTACTATGTTAATTAGATTATTTATCGATTGACATTGGATTAGCAATTATGAATTGAGCTTATCACAAATCAATAGCAACCTATATATGAGCCGCAATCTCTCATTTTCTTACGGTTGAATCGATATATTTTTTATGCTCTGTTTAATTGGTGCTCATTTCTCTTATATTTTGGTGCTCTTTTCACATATAATAAATTTGGTGCTCTTTTCTCCCATATTTTGGTGCTCATTTCACCTATTTCTTGGTGCTCAAAACACATTTCTTCCTTTCGGCTATGTATGTTGATCTTTGATTATAATGAATATATAGAACGTTATAAATGCTGTTTAATACTATTTATGTATTTAGATGGAAGGCTTTCATCTGGTATTTTTAAAAATCAAATTACAACACTTGTTATTGCCGTTGATCGAAGTCGAAAGGATCTGTCAACTATGGAAAACATATGCAATCTTATCTTTACTGTATTTACAAATTTAACTCATTTAATATTTTGTGAATCATCATATTCAAATATTATTCGATTATTATTTGAGTATCCATCTCCCAGTTTTTATTCTTCAACTCTTTTGGTACTAAGTATTAAGGTTCAAAATTTTGATATCTGTCTTTATATTCTCGATGGTCGTTTCAAGCAACTTCATACACTCTATATTGATTTAAATCAAATTTATCGTCCACCAGAAGAAATTGAAAATCAAGTTAGTTTTACAAGAATATAAATTTGATTCTTATTTATTTTTATTCTTTCTAGGTAAAAATACCAAATCTAAAGTGGTTTTTTCTATCATGTGCTTCAGAAACAATGTATTACAATGAATTAATTCTACCACTTCTTTATCGAATGTCAAATTTAGAAAAACTTGGTTTGGATCTTTCAGTCTTTGTTCACGAAAGATTTATTGATGGAAATAATTTAAAGACAAATATTCTTAATCATATGTCAAATTTAAATTACTTTTCATTTCATATTTGTTCCTGTATGTTTATTAATAATGAAATGAATTTGCCATCAAAACAAGACGTTCAGCAGACATTCAGAGATTTTAAAGATAATCAAATTATATCTTATGTTGATTATTTTCTAGAACGAAAACAAGGTCAATGTCATATTTATTCATACCCATCTATAATGAAATATTTTGATAATATAACAAATAATTTTCCAGGTGGATTATATCCATATGTTCGTGTAGTATCTTTATATGATGAATATCCTTTTGAACATGAATTTTTTATTCAAATAGCTCAATCATTTCCACGTATGGAACAATTAACTTTGATTAATCATCATGCACAAAAATATAAGCAATCTTATAAATCAATGAATGATAATCAGAATTCATCAATTGTTAAATATTGGCGTCTTATTCGGCTTAATATGCTAGAAGTTCATGATGATTATATTGAAGAATTTTTATTTCATACGAAAACATATTTATACAATAATATTCTTCTTGATATCAAATATAAATCATTAGAAAGAGTAACACATAATTTTACAAGAAATGATACACAACATAATTGTACGAAAATAAATGAAATATATTTATTCGGCGCCACACAATACTCTATATCTTTAAAGAATTATTTTCCTTTTGCGAAAATACACTAATTCTTATCATTTGTTATTTGTATCAAATAGATGATTATACTAAACGAAAACAGATTTTAAAGAGGAGAAGAAAATAAAAAATGCCTTGTGTATTATTGTTAGGAAACAATGTCTATGAAGAAATAATTATGTTCATGTGTTAGAAGATATATTTATTTTATCTAATAAAAATATTTGTATAATTCCAGCTATTGAAGTGTTGATAAAGGAATCGTAACTTTACATCCATATAAAATAGATGATAACGATTAATGATTGTTAATACAATACAACATTTATGGAGCAATATAAAACAACAAACAAACAAGTATTAAGAAGAAAATCCAATAAGAAAAAGGTGCGACTCCATCTAATTCAGAAAAAAAATTGGACCTCATCTGAAGTAGCATATGATGCAAAAGTATTCGGACAAATGTCGGACCCGATTTTTTTTTCAGTAGAAAGGTGTTGAAGGAAAACTTGTTTTCATTAAAAGATAGAGCATGTTTTCCTCTTTCGAATCGTATATAACTTATTTTTACCATACGTTCATGAATGATGTGTCACAATAGAAAACAGAAGCAACTGCAAAATGAGTCCGCACTTTTTTATTAAAAAAAGAAGGAAACGATAAAAAGCTTCTGAATTAACTGTAGGCATGTTCTATCTCTCTATTTCGATAGATCTGTCTCTAACAGCAATCAGTTGGGATACTGCTATATTCATCTAACAATTGCACCCTCTATCAAACTATTACATATAAAGATTGTTTCATGTAATCTAACGAATGATTGGAGTCTTTCTGCAGTTTTAACGATGACAAAAAATATCACGGGTGTAATTGCTGTTGTGAGTCATTTTTTATCATCATGTTCTTGTTAACTTGGACGTCTTTGTAGAACTCATTTTAGCATTTTTACTGGCGACATACTTCATTAGTCAATGTAATTAAAACGTCAAGAGTCATCAGCAGAAAGACTGAAGATTCCCATTGTTGTTAATGTTCGATCTCTTCATACATATTTAATCTGTCCATGACACATTAAGAGTTTTTTTCGACTTAAAGCAGCCAAAACCAAAACTTTGCTCGGCATTTAATCGTCTCTTTGTATTGATTATACACTGACTATATTAATTCTCACTTGTCTCAACAGTACTAGTACTTGATTAATATTTAAATACAAAATGAAAAGACTTGGAAAGGAGAACTTGCAACAAGTTTTTATCAGTAGAACATTAAAATTGCAGAAAAACTGATAAATTCGAACAAATAAAATAAAGGATAAGGAAAAGTTGAAGGCAGGCGAAAAAAAGTAGAACTTGAATGTGAGGATGATGCGCGACACTTGAGATCAAAATGGGCCCATAGCTTAGACCAAGATAGAATTGGAAGAACTCGGTCTATTACACTACTTGCTTTTCTCAATGATACCCCTTCTTTCGTAAAAAATGCTCTAAAATACTACAAAAAACTCAGTGCAAAAACGCTATTTTTTCATAAAACTTGGCATAATTCACTGATAGATTAGACCAAGCAACAAAAATTGTCGAACAACATAGAACATGACGATTTCTGTCGAATGTGTAACTTTGGAGCTCTATTCGATGTTTAAAACCCTGAGAAATTCGCTGGCTAAGGTCTCAATTGCTGGAATTTTGCTATGACTTGGTATGATACGTTTATAGTTTAGATCAAACCATGAAAATACTATGAATCTGAGTGGAAAAATGTGGATGTGAATATAAAGAATGAGCAAACACTCATATCCAAACTCTAGTTTTAGCGAATACTACATATATGCTAAGTAAAATTCGTAAAGAGTAGGCCTTTGTTTTTCTAGTCAACTTGTTGAGGCTTGAGTGTGGTGATGTGTATGCGGATCTGGGTATAAAAATTCTATCAACCCACACCCTCTTTCCATAGTGAACATTTTAAACGGTACCGTTAGTGTTCACAATAGAAAATTTCTCCTGCAATCAGTTTTCAAGCCGAAAGAATCATGTTTCTGAAAATATCTCTAACATTGTTTTATGTCGAATTTTCATTGACGATAGTTTTTTCTTCTGTTGACAAAAAACAAGATATAAGACAATATGAAATAAGTTTTTTTCTTTTCATACGATTATGCATGACTTATTTCATTTGTAAAGTCAATAATACAAATCCTAATCGTCCATCAGTAAATAGATAAGTTATTCGAAAATGAAATTTTGGTGGATTTCTAAATCTCTGAATGTAAAAGCAATGTGAGACTATGTAAATCAACCGTTGATTTATTTTCTTGTTTCTACAGCTGTGAACAGAATTAGAAGCCAAAGCTAATAAGTAAGGTAGTGAAAATGCAAAATTTCACTAAACTTTTTTTTTCGTTTATTTATATATGGTTTGATAGAACTTGAAAAGCTGATCACGAATATATACTTTTTATTTGGATTCAATCACTGTTTGCCAGAGAAAAACAGTGAAAGAGTTGAATGACTAAAAATCAGCTTTTTTTTGATGAAAAATTACAAAATATTTTTTTCAGATTTTTGAAATCTTTGAAAATACTAGATTCTGAATCAGCATGAAAAACTGAGTAAAACGATGTTATTCGAATAGATCTAGTGTCGTTAAAACTGAAAAGATTCCTTCTAATATAAATAGATTCCTTGCACTAAAGATATTTATCGGTTCGGTAGACCATGAGATATAATGGTTACTATTGAGTTTTTTTAAATTCTTTTCTATTGTTCAAAAATCTATATTTTTAAAAATTGTCTTTATATACGTAAAAATTCAAGAAGAATTCGACTGATTACGAGAACCTATTCAGAAACAGTCTAAAACTCATCTTTCATTAAAATGAAAGATTAATGAACGTTTTCCAAATAGTTTGGAAGTAGTATTTTGATGAGACTAGTCTGTTACTCTAAAAGTTCCTATGATTTTAAGAAAAGACCAATTAGAGAAAATAGAATAAATTAAGAAAAGAACAGAAAAGGAAGTGTCAAGTAGTCGAATCAATGTTTCTGAATTGAAGATGTCTCTTATTTACTCTTGTGCATCTTAGTTATATAGTGAAAAAACTTCGCTATAGACTTTTGCATGATTATGCTTCTAATATGTTCAGAAAGGTATTCATCAAAAGTTTAGATCTCAAAATGCTAGTGTACTTATCATTTGCTCTAGTCGTAATAGTGTAACATATTTTAAAGAAATTTTATCTTCAATGAATTCGAACAAAACTTCAAAATCATAAGTTTTAAGTCAATTAGTAAAACAAATGAATTCCACAATATTACCATATTTTCATGAATATCTTATTTTCATAAGCTTTCATTTTCAAATAAAGAATTCGGTACTATCAACGTTTGCTAGTATAAATATTTCATTTAAAACAACGGTTATTTTATTTTAGCGTACTAAAATATTAGAAAATAATTAGTGTTGCATTCAAAGAGACTATTTGAATAGTAAAAAATGAAGCTCGAACTGCACAATTTATACAATGTAGCAGGCTCTACACAGATAGAGATCCGCGAAGAAGTAAACTCGTATTCCGATACAGACAATACAGGAAGAACCAGATGAAGCATATGTGGACAAAGCAGAAAGAAAAAATATATACACGAAACATTGATAGGGAAACAAAAAGTTATAAAAAAAAAGGCGTTCATGTAACAGTATAAAGCTGTAGAGAGTCCTTTTTAACCGCTCTATTCTGATAGAACTACAAAAAATACCTTCTCGAAAATGTACTTCATGCGCACGAAGTAAAATAAAAAATGCTTGTTAACTTTTTTTCTTTTTTAATGAAAGATAAGTTTTAGACTGTTTCTGAATAGGTTTTCGTAATCAATCGAATTCTTCTTGAATTTTTACGTATATAAAGACAATTTTCAAAAATATAGATTTTTGAACACTAGAAGAGAATTTAAAAAACTCAATAGTAATCATTATAGTTCATGGTCTACCGATCCGATACATATCTTTAGTGCAAGGAATCTATTTATATCAGAAGGAATTTTTTTAGTTTTAATGACTCTAGGTCTATTCGAATAACACCATTTTACCCAGTTTTTTCATGCTGATTTAGAATTTAGTATTTTGAAAAATTTCAAAGAAAAGCCGAAAAAAAGCTGATTTTTAGTTATTCAACCCTTTCAGTGTTTTTCTCTGGTAAACAGTGATCGGATCGAAATAAAAAATATATATTCGTGATCAACTTTTCAAACTCTATCAAACCATATTTAAATAAACGAAAAACAAAATTCACTGAAATTTTGCATTTTCGCTACCTTAATGAAAGTCTATGAGAAAAAAAAATACATGAATAAATATAGTAATTAAATTTAAATCTTTTGTGTTGTATATGTTGAGGGTGTGGGTATGAGTGCAAGTTCTCTGTCTTCACATTCATACCCACACACCCGATCCAGACAACTGCTCATATTAATACAAGTAGAATCTTTTTAGGTTCGACCGACATTTTTAATGGAATTGCTCTTAGTCTTAATAATTTATTTTTATTTTATGAAAATCTAATTTTTCATTTTTGTTTCAACATAAATCAGTACAAAAAAAAAGAAAAGAAAAAGCACGTGATTAAGTCAACAGTTAATTGATATCGAATGGATGTGGAATTTTCGTACTCGAGCATGAAAACAATCAACAGCATAGAGATAACTATATTGATCAAATGTTAAACCTTCAGGATGAAATCAATAATTTGCTTGTCCTCGTTGATTGTTTTCGTCGATAATAACACTACCTTTTGTACTTCCTTTTGGCCAACGTATGATTCGATTATTGCTGCTATCTGCTACATAAAATGTGCCAGAATGATCAACGGCGATGCCTTCAGGTAATAAAGCATTTGCACAATCATCAAATCAAAACAAGAAAAATTAGACAAAATAACGAATAGTAAGAGATGAATAAAGCTGTGTCATTATAAAGGTAAAGATAAATAAAGCATTTGAGAAGACAAGCAAACAATATCAAACATAACGGGTGGATCGAAAGTTTTCGCACAAAATGTTTGTTTATATCTGACCCACTTGAAAATNTACACTTACTCGTGTATAGTTGCCCTTTAAAATAAGCATAAAATCCTAATAATTTTAATCCTAATTCTGGAATTCACATGAGATTTTTGGGATTATATTGGATTTTTGGGATTATCATGGGATTTTCGGGATTTTTAGGATTTTTATGGGATTTTTGGGATTATCATGGGATTTTTGGATTTTTATTGGGATTCAAAATTCCGAAAATCCGCCGTTTCCCCCTTGGCTTAAGGTCGATTCTTGCGCTTCTTAGCAACTGAATAGCACAAGAATAAAATTTTAACTACGCACTTTTAATATTGTCACTCGAACAATCTGTAGGGTGCAGAGGAAATACGGATGTCAAAACTATCAATGTCGCTACAGGAAAGATGACTATACTATGGTTGTAGCCCATAGCCGACTTAGCCCCACCATGTTGATTCTTTTTAACACGATGACTCTGGACAGGCCTGCGTATGTAACAAGATGTTTTTTCAAATATCATCGGATAATCAGCCCAAGTTAGATTCCACTAAATTTTAGAAATGAAAGCAATAGCAAGTCGACTATGGGCTACAACCTTAGCATAATCATTTTCCTTTGACAGCATCAAGATTTACTATCCCCTTATCCATACAAGCTTTTCAGGCGACATTATTAAAAGGGCTTAGCTAAATTTTATTTTTTCATTCTCCAGTTACTAGTCATCCCAGGAGTCAACCCCGAAATTTTCAGCTCTATTAAGCCCCTGAAGGAAAATTAATTTTTTTCTCTAATGATGGAGATCGCATTTTTTCGCTTCCATTTTACCAAGGCATGTACCGCGGGTGTGGGTGTGGGTGTGGGTGTGGGTGGGTGTGGGTGTGGGTGTGGGTGTGAGTACGGGTGTGGATGTGGGTGCGGTAACAGTTCTGCTTTATCAGGAATCTCTACCCACACCCACACCCACCCACACCCACACCCACCCACACCCACACCCACCCACATACACCCAAATGTATGGTTAAAATGTACATATCAACCTTTGTTTTTTTTTGGATTAATTAAAAAATTGATTATTTTTTCCTCATTTTATAATGAAATAAAAAATACCCTTATTTGAATTAATTCGTATAGAAGATGGATACTAATGAGGTACATGTCAGAGCAAGTAAGAGCAACTGTAGTTGATGAATTAGATATATCATGACCTGAACGTCAATAACTGTTTTACTGATTTCTATTTTGAAAAATAAAGACATGAAATAGAACAAATAGAAACTGGGGTGTTTGATTATGATATTGTAAGTATTCGTAATAATAGTTAGAAAAAGAAAGGCAATTTTGATTAAAGGAAACAATGTAACCAGAAATGATACCCAACTCACCATAAGGAATTCATTGTGTTTTATTTGAATAGAATAAATTAATTAATAAGGCATTTCCATACAAAACTATGACTCTACATTTCATATTTATAATAATAAAAAAAACAAAGAAAAAAAAGAAGTGTTCGTATCGAAACTTTATTATATTTTTATTTTTTCCCAGTTTCGACAACAACAGGTGGATAATTGCATACACCTATTTTAGGATCAAATATGGTACCTGGTGCACATTTACGAATCCAAAAGACACCAGTTTGATCACATTGAATGAATCGTGATGCATCAGGATAATAAGGAAAATAATATCTACCATAGATGCCGCAAGGATTTTGAACTAAAATAAAGAACAAGAAAAAAGTAGTGACATTTAAATGTTGTCGACCTCCAATCGGTTGTCTTGGTAGACGACGAAGAAAAGAAAGAAAAGAAAATTGTTGATAGACAGACACACAACATACACAAACATATATATTGAACGATGTTTATCGCTATTTTGGATATTGATTTATTTCGATTTGAATCGATTAATGATTTCGTTATACATTCTCTTATATCAATTGAACAAATAAAACAATTATTTGATGATAATCAAGGAAATTTTCCACTTCCAATTCAACTCGAACAATTTGTTCTCGATCATATTCTTCAATCAAACTCAAAAATATTAAAACATGAAACATTTCGTGATGAATCCCTTATTGATTTATATACTTCAATTTTAAATGATTGATTACATTGGTCAACTTATACTCATAAACAAATTGTTTGTGTTGTAACATTAATTCAAGGTCTTTTATGTTAAATTGAACGAACAAATAAAATGAATTCTATAAAATTAGATGAAGCATTTATTCATTCATGTTCAATTCTAATGGGCGGAAATAATCATAAAAAAACAGTTTTTTTTAATGCTCAACAATATCCAAAAGTAATTGATTATATTATCCAAATAATTTTTCAACATCGACATCTATATGAAACATTACTCGATGAAAAGCCTGAACAAGTTGAAAAAAATTGTAAAAAATAGAATAGTAAAAAGAATCTTTAAATTAAAAGAAAAGAAGTTTTTTATTATTTATTTTTCTTAGATCGATTTTTATTTATTCGAAGAACCACTTTTTCCTTATCCATTAACAGAAGCTCTTCCTTTATCTATTTATCGTGAAATAATTCTTCAAATTCTACCAACTCCATTACTCAATGATGAAACTGATCCTGATCAACTTTCACGTGAATCATTATCAGTTGCAACACTTGCTAGTGAAGAAACAACTGTTGATCTTATTGGAATAATTGACAATATAAATCGTCAATATCCAAATGTAACACGTGAACAAATTCGACAAATATTTGCCGAAGTTTCACAAGAATATCTATCTGAACATAATGAAAATATTCAAGATACATTAAGNATTATCAGTTGCAACACTTGCTAATGAAGAAACAACTGTTGATCTTAATGGAATAATTGACAATATAAATCGTCAATATCCAAATGTAACACGTGAACAAATTCGACAAATATTTGCCAAAGTTTCACAAGAATATCTATCTGAACATAATGAAAATATTTAACATAAATTAAGAGAAAAAGAAATTTCACTCTTATCGAAATTTAGTAATTTACAATTAACTAATAAAAATGAATAAACAAATAAATAGATAAATAGCTTACTTCCAACACAGCTATTTATACGACATCCACATTGCCATTGACCAGCTAGTTGTGAACAACTAGCACCAGTTGGACAAAAACCTGTCGGACATCCGCCCGTACCTAAACCAGTTATTTGAGCACCAACACCAGCGAGTGGTGCTGTGGGGTCAAGAAGACCACCAGCGACAGCAGGCCATAAATAAGGAAAATTATACCAGTTGACATTTTGATATGGGTATGGATAGTAAAAACCTAAAGAAAAATCTCAGATTATTTTTCTCTTTCATTATTTTTTATCTTACCTCGAGGATCAGCTCGAATAGGTTGCCGTTGCTGTTGTTCACCTTGAGTTAAAAGAGCTTCGCTCAATGTTTTAGTCATTTGATTTGATAATTTAGTATCTGTAATATTGATTGCAGGTAATGAATAGACACCATTGTTCATCAATGTTGCAACCACTAAGAAGAGCATCACAAAACTTTGCATGGCTGTTGTTATTGTTATTAATTTTATTGAGAAATCGTGAAATTAAACGAATATTTGAATCTTTTGCGAACATTTATATATGATTAGTATTTTTGTCAAACGTCTGTATCTTGAGACGAAGGTCTTATTTTTTTTTCTCTCTCTCCTTTGTATCATCTCCGTTGATTAAAAAAGTCATGACAATGTATATTGTATATGTATCTCTATGTCTACGGATTACCAAGCTACGACAGTGAAAAATGTTATGAATTTATGGGACGTGTGATTGTACGTTTAAAATCGGCCTACAATATGGATTAACAAAACGGTAAATGAAACAATAAAGTAATGCACTGCTAAAAGAATATAGATTAATACTTATAACCTTTGATAACTGAAATGCGTAGATGTAACTTTTCAATATTGAGATGTCAACAACATTTTATTAGAAGAAAAAGAAAAAAGTAAAGCCTTTCATGGTCAATGCGTGATTATGACAAAAGATATGATGCACATACTTTACGGATCAGCATGACAAATATGATAGAAATACAATAAATAATCAAGGCTACATCAAGAATTATTTTGATATGCATTATCAGAAAAAATGATAAGAAGGTTGGAGACAACGTTTAAAATAATCAAATGTAGTGGAAAATTTCTTACCATATATTGTACAATTAATCAAGAATTATTTCGAAAAAAAATTATTTATGGACGATCGTCGATAGAAAGCAAGCTTTGATTTAATACTTATTCAATATGAACGCATATAATCGAGTGATATGAGAAACAAAAACAATCGATCCAATTAATTTTTGATTTAGTTTAGTTTGAGATCCGTTAGAGTTTATTTTCTTGTGTATTTCGCATTGAATATATCATTCCATGCTTAACAATAAGTTAGAAGTTAATCTTGTTCTATAAAAATAGGTTTCGTAGATGAATATTCGAAAACGTATGTACGCTTTATATGATTGTAGACAGAACTTTGATTTATTAGGACTCTTGATAGTTAGGTTTCTTATGAAACTCGTGAAAGATTGATATATTTTTATTATTTTGCTGACGGTTTCTATTGGCAAAGTAATTATCTGCATTTCTATGAAGCAATATAGTAAACAAGCTCTTCTTCATCTCGGTATAACAGTCTTTATTTCAAACGATTGTATTAAGTGTTTTAAACTGAATGGTTACCTTGTACAGAGTATCACAATTCCAATTGTATTAATTTTATTAGCAGAGTAGAGAGTGTTCATTTTCAAAATTTTCTTTCATTAAAACTCATTGGGCAACTATATATAACATATCGTATGCTTTGAATCTACGAAACTGATCTAAAAGCTGTTAGCGCAATCCCTTGCGGGATTAAAAATGTGAAACACGATGGATCTAGTGTTACTAATTAAATGAAAATCGTTTTGTTCCATTTCTTTGCAATACATTTGTAGCTAACCGTTTATCTGATGCTTTAGAACTACAGTTTCTCTGTCACGGTCTGTGATGAGTTCACAGCCTGTCTGTCACGGTCTGTGAGGGGTAATCACCTGTCTGTAACGATCTGTGACGCTGGTATCACCTTTCTGTAACGGTCTGTGAGGGGTAATCACCTGTCTGTAACGATCTGTGACGCTGGTATCACCTTTCTGTAACGGTCTGTGACGGGAGAATTACCTGTCTGTGACGGGGGGAATTACCTGTCTGTAACGGTCTGT